TGGGTTAATACGCTGACTGCAAAGTCAGTTTTGAACTGCATCGGCAGTTCTAGCTCACCAGCTGCTCCTCGGAAACCTTATACAAGGTCGCTATGGGTCAGAACTGACTCAAAGGCACTTAACAAAAAGCCCTTGATTACCAAACTAGTCATATGACAGATAAAGGAGGTATTTGCCTGCAGGGTTTGATTTCAGGGGCCTTGGTGTGATGGGTTAAATTGTGTTCCCCAAAAAAGACATGTTGGCCTTTTCTGTGCTTTTCCAGCATTCAGGATGTCAAAGCGAGGATGTGGTAGGTCCTATGGTACAAAATGCCAGATTTCCCTGCATCTTCCAGTAGGAGCCATGATCAACTGTGCTGATAACACAGGAGCCAAAAATCTGTCTGTCCTCTCTGTGAAGGGCCTCAACAGATGACTGGACAGACTTCTTGCTGTTGGGGTGGGTGACATGGTGATGACCATGATCAAGAAAGGGAAACCAGAACTCAGAAGGAAGGTATATCCTGCAGTGGTAATATGACAATGAAAGTTATGGAGAAAGGACAGTGTGTTCCTTGATTTTAAAGATAATGCAGGGGTCATAGTAAACCATAAAGGCAAGATGAAAGGTTCTGCTATCACCGGACCAGTTTCCAAGGAGTGTGTGGACTTGTGGTTCAGGATGGCATCTGATGCCAGCAGCACTACATGATTCTCCAGTGTATTTGTAGAAATAAATAAATAAAACTACACCCCACTTTCAAAAACAAAAAAGATATGTTGAAGTCCTAACCCCTAGTCCTAGTGAATATGACTTTGTTAGGATATAGGGTCTTCGAATAGGATCGTTTAACATGAGGGCATAACTGAGTCCTGGTGTGATGCTGTGGGTTAATGCGCTGGACTGCAAAGTCAGTTTGGTGGTTCAAGCTCACCAGACACTTTTTGGAAACCCTATACAGGGTCGCTATGGGTTGGAACCGACTCAACGGCACATAACAACAACAATATAATGAAGTAGGGTGGGTCATATGTAATCCAATTGGAAGACTGTCCTTTTGGAAAAGAAGAGGAGCGGCACAGAGAGGAGACACACACAGGGAAGGCAGTCATGGGAAGACTGAGGCAGAAATTATAGTGATGCATCTGCAAGCCAAAGACTGCCAGGAAGCACCAGAAACTTGGAAGAGGCAAGGGAGGATTTTCCTCTAGAGCCTGCAGAAAGGGCATGGCCCGGCCAACACCTTGATTTTAGACTTCTAGCCTTCTCCGGGGTTGTGAAAGAATACAGTTCCATTATTTAAGCCCTTGTTTGTTGTGGTTTGTTACAGCAGTTCTAGGTAACTAATATATTTGGGAAGCATTCCCCATCATCAAACCCCAACCCAAGATTCTCTGACTCCCAGAGAAATCTCTAAAAAATCTTTCAAAAGGGAACAAAACCTCTCATCCCTTGACTAGAGAGCCAATGAAGACCATAAATTAATTTGCACATGCATTCTGGCAGGGTAGTGACTAACCCCATGTCTATTCCTGGTAGCAGGTTCTAATAGGGAGAAGAAGGGAGGAGAACAGCAGGAACCAGGAGCCAGAAAGCAGAGCAGGAAAAGTGAACACCAAGAAGAATGGGGCAGGATTCAGGGGCTGAGATAGGAGGTGAGAGAGGCTCAAGCCAGAAGATAAACTTGGCCAACTTCACTCCTGGTGCCCTGAATTATTGGGACCTTTAGACCAAGATGTAACACACTGGTAATAGGTTCTTTTTGTTGCAATCCACAAAGGAAAATTCCCTGCTATCAATAGCAGGCAGGTGCAAGAAAATGTGGCCCAGCTGTCCTGGAAACGGCAAGCTACGCTCTGAGGCCCAGTATGTCAGGGAGCTCATGAGCTGTATAGCTGTGAAATGGGGATTGGGGACATCCTCAATCATTTGTTTGCACATCCTTTATTGAATAAATGGTACTGTGCTCAGGATCCTTTTGGTACATCTTACTCATGGGGGGTGGGGGAACCTTACATAGTAATAATCATTTACGCACTAATACGAATTTTGATGTGCCAATGTATTTATTTACCTTATTCAAGCTACCCTGTTTTGTTTTATTATTTTGTTTTGTTTCTTTCCTAATTGAGGAATAATATACTTTTTTTCCTTCAGAAAAGTATTCTTTTTTAAAATGAGGAGCATTTTGTGTGTGTGTATGTGAAGTTCCTTTGACATTATGTCTTTTAATACTCAACAATTCAGGAGCCCTGAAAGCTTCTGTTCAAATTCCCCAATTGCTGAAGAGCGATCATCTAAAATCACCCAGGGCCTCTGTTTAAATCACACTTTTAATAACAGATCACCAGAATAAGTATACACAAGTTGCTGATGTACGGACTCTATACCTATGCACTTTAATCTTCAGTATAAGCCTCAGATTGGTATGTCAATTTGCAGATGAAGAAACTGAAGCACAGAAAGGTTCATTAATCTTGTCCACAGTCACACAGCTATAATGTCACAACCAGGCTTAATCTCTGGCCTATGGGCCCCAATGTAAAATAAATAATGTCCTTGCCCATCTCTTTTTAAAGTGTGAGAGTGGATCTGGTATAATTGGCTCAAAGTACTGATCTGATTTCTTGAGCCTTAGGAAAAAAGTACCTTTGAGCTCAGCTTTGCTCCCCAATTCCTGTTGACAGTAGATACTCAGTTATATTGGAATTATTGAATGGCTTTGTCCTCAAATGTAGCCTTCACACTTTAGCCACATGCCCACTCTTTCCTCTACATTTCAACTTTCATAAAATGTTGAAAGTTAGTGTTCGAACCCTCTATTAACTG